ACCTCTGACAGCCATCCAGCTCTCTGGTGATCCTCCAGCTCCAGAGATGTGACACTTGTAGAGTCCTTCATCAGACTTGGAAACACTGTGGATGGTCATCTCTCCTGTAGAGCTGCTCCTGATGAGGAGGCCATCTTTATAGAAACCAGCTGTGAGGTGGGGAAAATTTGTCTTGTTTCTGCAGGTCAGTGTCACATTGTTTCCCTCCATCACAGGCAGTACAGGACTGTCCAGGAGCACAGAACCATCTGAAAAACAAAGGTTTTCCTACACTGAAATTTAATGAAATACACTTGTTTACCTGAGTAACATGGAAAAGTTGGTATCAGTTCAATCTCTTTTTATTAGCTCTCTTCTGACATCTTTTTTAACGTCACATGATGATTTTTTTTTTTTTTTGAGAAACTTAAACATACCAGTGACAGAGATGTTGACACTGTTGCTTCTCTCTCCTCCTTCAGTCTCACACCAGTATTCTCCACTGTCTCCTTTATAGATTTCACCAATGGTGCAGGAGGACACTGTTGGCGTCCTCTTAATATCACATACCGGATTAAATTCCTGAGTATTCCTTACCCCTCTTAAGCGAGTGGGACCAGCAATCCCCTCACAATTAAAGGACACAGACTCATATTCAAAATGTTGCAGTCTGTTTGGGGTGATATGAAGAAAGGCTGCATCTGAAACCAAGAAATAAATAGTAGTGTAACAAAAGAAACATTCACAACTGGGAAAAAAAAGATTTCTATGATATAACAAAATCACCAAATCACTGTCAGTGCCTCTACCCGGTGACAGATTCAACTTGGACTTTATTTTGCAAGATTGGTATCATTTGCAAAACTTGATATTTCTTTTAAACTCAACCTGTCAGGAACTACAGTGTTTACGAAAACTGTACAAACCTAAATTATATTAAAATAAAAATAAAACAGAGACAGATTTAAAAGGTTTTAGTCAATGTAAAATTGTGGTACTTTCAGTGGAGAGAATGAGGAGGAAAAAATATTGAAGAGTTCCTTAGAAATTTGTATTTGTCACTCACCACTTCTCTGAGTGTAAGTGTTCAGCAGAGTGACTCCAAGCATCACTGGATGAACAAAGGAGCAAAGTTGAATGTTAGACTGTTAGCATATAAAACAGATAAAAGGAGGAAACCTGAGGTTCAGTACTCACACAGTCTGAAGCAGAGAGCTGTGACCTCCATGGTGTCTTGCTGCGGACTGACTGAGCATCAGACTGAAATACAGCTCAAGTACGCAGGCGACAACTTCCTCTTCCTGTTCAGTTTATTTTGGATGTTGATGCAAAAAGTGGAGCCAGAGTCACATTGGTTCAACATACAGTTTGTCAGTCTTGAGTTTTAAGCACCAGAAGGTCGGCCATCTCCGCCACTCTGGTTGGCTCAAGTACATAGCTGGTTTAAATGGGACGTAAAACTGTTTAAAACTGTAGCTGCTGTTTGTGAACATTAATCACTGTTCTAAATTGAGTCAACAAAAGTTGGTCATATAGCTCAATGAATATCAGTGAATTAAATGCAGAAGGAAGATTCAAGCTCAGAAATCATGGTGACCATGTAAAATGACCCTATACTTAAAAACGAAACAAAAAATTCTGTGCAGGATTCAGCCCAAAGTTGTGTTTAGTCTAAAAGATCATTGAATACATTTAATTAAGCATTCCCAGAACATCAATGAGTTCCATCAGCAGCTGCTGAGAGGTTCAAACTCCTCTGCAGCTCGAAGACATTTCAGCTGAGATACCAGTCACTTCACAATTTAGGAAAGTTAATAAAAAGCTTTTACTCTTAGTCCTAAAACAAAAAGTAACATGTCACTCGAAAACCTTTGTCCAGCTCAGACTGATTTTCCACTTTTAGACATTTCAAAGTAATGGATGAATGACCTGTGCTGTTTTCTGGACACTGGACTGACTGCAGCTGTGGACAGCAGACACCCATTCATCTCAACGGGCCCAGTGCTTATGCAGCCAGCCGCTCCTGCATAAGGAACTGCTACTTCTGAAGATTTTATTTGCCTTAAAGTCTGTACGTTGGCCGGATGGTGGATGGCTGATATTGTGTCTTTGACCGGCGGATTTTAAGCTTTTAGGGACACCTGTGTGACTGGTGCCGACACAGCCACACCAAACTACTTTAGCATTTCGCTAACTTTTAGCAATATACTAGTTTTTTCTCCATTCTACAACCGGATCGACCACAAAGATACTGCCAGCCTGAGAGGGAAAGACCCTGTGAACACTTCGGCCACCCCAGAACCCATTTTTACACCTTCTGTGCTGTTTTCTGGACACAAGACTGACTGCAGCTGTGGACAGAGGACACCCATTCATCTCAACGGGCCCAGTGCTTGGGCACGCGCCGATAAGTCCCACTTTCTACTGGATCCAAACCACCCTGACCCAAGACCTACATTTAAAATTCTAACTGTTTAATGTGTGTACTTTGACCGGATGGCCGATCGTGTATTTTTGAGTTTTAGGGCATTTACTGTGGATTAAACGTACGTACGCACAAACAGAGGAACACAAAACACACGTTTGTATACAGAATAGTACACCCACAATGATCAAATTTATTCAGGGACTTTTTGTAACAAAAGCATTACCATTTCAATAAAGTACATTCTGATTCTGATCAGTCCAATAAAGTGATTAAGGAAAATAACACTACAACAACATTAACTACATTGTTCAAACTACTACAATAGTTTCTGCCCTGCAGGCTAACAGATACCAGATGTCACTGAGAGCTAGACCAGTAGGGGGTAGGGCTTATCTACATGAGATGCAAATGAGCAGCATTGTGTTACCTGGCACTTGAGAATTCAAAATCGTTCAGGCTGGATTTCTCAGTAAAGTAGTTTGAGGAGTGCCTGCATTCAAATGGCCACAACTTCTTCGAATATTTTCAGATTTCCATGTGTTAGACATTGTTGGAAAGCTTAGAAACTACACTTTCAGAATCTGTAAATAACTCAAAATGCCTCTCGGGAGACTTGTCCTGGTTTTTCCATGGCTGGTCACATTTTTGTACTGCCTGCCTCCCATGCACAGACCACAGACACATAAAGACAGACAGACCCTCCCCTCTCTTTGAAACTCGGTCCAAACTCGGTAAACCTAGATGGTATCGATTAAATATAAATCAAGATTGCATTGCCTATTTCTCGCCTGACATGTTTTCAGAAACATACTTCAGTGCCGTGTTTAGCTGTAATAGCGAGAGTTTGTGAACAGCAAGTGGGCGGCATACAGCTTCCTGCATAGTGAAGATGGAGGCTCAAAAAAACTGAGATCAAACAGTAAAACTAAGCAGTGCTGATCAAATACAAACCAAGATTCTGTGACTGTGTTGCTTATTTCTCACCTCAAATATTTGCAGTAAAATATTTTAGCTTACTGTTTAACTAAACTAAGCACAAAAAGTAAGGACATTTGTGTTTGGTAGATTATTTCTTTGTTGTAACAATGCTTCTTAGCAATAACTCTTATGCCATTGGAAAGCCTGTTTATTTCCCTTTTAAATGGCGCCACATTTGTAAGGAACATGCATTTGTGGGATGAGCAGCAGAGCTGAGTATGTGGGTTGCGCCAATGAAAAATTTGCCAAATCTTCTCTGCCAATGCCAAACAGCTTTTTTTTTTTTTGATGTTGACTCTTGTTTGGTGTTGTTTGGTGGATTGAATCTGGACTCATCGCTGGACATAACGTTCCTCCACATGTTCAGGTTCCAGTGCACCTGTTGCTGACACCAGTGCAAACGGGCCTGACGGTGAAGGGCAGTCATGACAGGCCTCCTGGCAGCCCTATGAGACTGGAGATTGGCTGCATGCAGTCTGTTCTGGATTGTCTGGGCAGAGAGCCGTCGGCCATATTGTCCAACAAACCTTGACTGCAAATCTGTAGAAGACTGCCTACGGTTCCTAAGTGCTGACAGTATGAGGAAATGGTCTTCTTGGTGTGCCATCTTCTTTGGACACCCAAGAAGACCAATCCAACCAATGAAGGCAATAAGATACGAAAAACAACCAAATAATTGCAGTAACATTTAGTATTAAGTATAATGTGTGGACATTCAGCAACACCTTTCCTCTACAACTTTTCATCACAGATTAAAGATCATCATGACTCTGTTCAGCCCAGTTGCCAGAAGAAAATGTTTGCATTATACATTTATTCAAACCATGAACATTGTTAAACTGGTACGTTCATATGTATCATGTCAGTGTTTCTAAAGTAATGTAAAGTATGAGCTGAGTTTGTCATCTGGAGGTGGAGGGAATGGGGGGGCATGGTAAGTAGTTTCCTGTTTTTTTTATATTTTAATATTTATTTATTTATTGATGTTTATCTAAATAAGTCTCACAAAATTAGAATTAAGAGAAATTTCTTTGACACCTGCTAATTAGCCTTATTGTAGCCATACAATATTTTTCTTTCAGATTAACAGCCTTTTAACAAAAATGATGTCAAAAGCCACATTTTGTGCATAATCTTTCTTCCGTCTTTATCTGAGATACAACTTTTTCTCATATTGTTCCATAAAGACTGCAGCTCTTTGAATATGAGTCTGTCTCTTTTAATTGTGAGAATTTTAATGACTCAGCTGGATGGGAAGTTTAAAAAAACATTTTTTCTAACTCTCCACACTTGTAGAGTTCCTTTTTGGTCACATTGTCAGAGCTACATTAGTGGGTCATTGCTTATTTTATTCCAATTTACTATAAGTTTTCTGTTGTGCAACTTTCACTGCTGTTGAAGTGTGATATAACATGTAAGGACTTGTTTACGCCTTCAGTGACTGTTGTTAGACTAGCAGAAAAGGTTACACTTAAAAACCACAAAGGGTCTGACTGATGCATGAACTATTTTCAAAAAGGTGATGGGTTTAGAAAAGAAGAACCCTCAGGTCTTATGGAAAGCAAAAAGCTGTTGGGATTTTTCAGTCTAAATCAAAGTGGTGAACTGATTGACAGTGCCCTCATTTTTGGTCTGCGCTGACATGTTACATGGTCTAAAGTTATTTCCTATAGCATCATAACATAAACCTTAGTGTGTGATGAATAAACACAATATATGCCTTCATTTTTGTGGAAAAAAAGAATCCACACAAGCATAATAAAGATTTATTGATCAATACAGAATTATATCAGTATTGTGTTTAAAACCCTTTGACAGGAAAATATTTCTACATATACACGTTTGCACATACACATTACATCAGGCTACTCATCAAGAAATTGACAGTCAGTGTTAAATATCGATATATCATTAGCTATCATTTAGTCAGACAGAGATTTGACATTTTTCCCCCTGAACCTGTGACCTTATGAAAACGAAATAAATGCATCAATATGGCTTCAAGTTGATTGAGGCAGGTCAAACTGATGTCACAGTATCATGTTGGTGGTTGAACACAAGTGTATTAAAAGCTGCAGCAGCATCTTCTTTAACTGTTACACTCTGATGAAAATAAACACAATGCTGTGAGTGACGTCTCCTCAAAACTGTCCGATCAGTTCATCCAGCTGGACTTTAATTATTTGTGAAAAAAAGTTAAAAAAAAAAAAAAAAAAAAAAAACAAGTTAATTGCATTAATAAATAAACATAAACAGTATTGCCTTAAATCATAATTCACAAAGTGGAAAAGTGCATGACTATATCATTTATTTAAGTGCATATATGTTCCTCATATTTGCTTTGTTACGGAGTAAAAAGAAAATACAGATGCAACATCTTGAAACATGAAAGGCTTGCTGAAGCTGTTTTTTTGTTTGTTTGTTTTGTTAGCCATTGAATTCCACAACAATACTCAAAGGAGATGACTGAATTTTTACTTCTTCCGTTGCGCACATTAGCAGGAAGTCTTCATTTAGTCAGGTGTCTCTGGTCTTTGTGGCCTGTAAGACAGAACACACAAAGATATATCTGTGGTAAAAATATTTCTAACTCAAGGGCCACTCACTCAGGTTTTTCAGAAGCTTTAAACAAACCCAACTAGGTGTGATCACCTGACCTAAGTTCTGTTCTTAAGTTCGTATGTATGTATGAGTCTCACGTCAGTCAGTTAAACTAAAGGTGGTGCCTCAAGGTTACTTTGAAGCTGGTAATGCTAAAGTCTGGAGCTCTGTCACCAGGCAGTTTGACTTTGCAACACAGGAGGGGCTCATCAGGGCATCTGTGTTCAGCAAACCATTATCTTATCATCCATCTATGGAGGAGGGGTGGCTATTGTTAGATTCATGACATCATGGCTTACATTTTCAAATGAAACCTAATATATATGATATTCTGTGTTGACCAATTGAATTCACATTTAGAGGAGCACACAATCAATGCAGCTATCATGTGGGGAATCAAGATCACTTAGAGAGAGTATTTAGTCAGATTAAGGCCCAGAAACACCAAACGGACATCAATGAACTAGTTGCAAAGGAGGCTGACAGTTGTGTCGCCTCATGTTATCTGTGTCTTGGCCACAATGTTACACTTGAACACTTTGCAAAGACTTCAGCCGAGAGCCAGTTACCCACATACATTCTGAGCCTGCATAAGAAGAAATAAGAAGTCGTCAAATACCACTGCTTTGTCAGCGATTTTGGTGTCGGACACCAACACCAAAAGCCAAGACAAGATGAAACCTTTTGTGGTGTTATGACACGGTGCCAGTTAGTTGGACAGCACCTGTCATTGCAGTATGACATGTGGGTGGCAACAGTTTCATGGTGTTATGATATGACATAGGGTGGTGTCAGGTTGAAACGCTGCCGGGAACGACATAATATAAGGAGCTGGAATGTCCCTGTAGGGTTGGCAGGAGGTGTGGTGGATGGGTCCAACAAACCACTTCCTGAATGTAAAGCCAAACCATGATGTTTTTTTCTGAACCCAACCAGGTGCTTTTGTTGACATTGGTAGGTAGGCACTAATAACCTTACCTTATCTAACAAGTTATCTGACAAGTCTTGAGCTGTTTATTTGCTTTCCTCACCTCTGTTTCTCTTCTTATGCACTGAGTTGAACTGCTAATCAGAGTGATTTCATTTACCAATGGGGTCTGACTCTGATTCAACATGCTCAAATGCCCAGAAAGTTGCCACAGGGCCAACTAGTGCCAACAGTGGGGGACACACCGCAAAACAAGGGCGACCAACGGCCCACCAATGGCCAACTAACAGTTGACCTGGTGTGACAGGGCCTTAAGAGGACATTGTTGCTGTAAGTCTTACCTTCTGGACAGGTGCATAGAGAAGTTCTTCCTTGTTTGAATTGGAGTCTTTGGCTGCTGTGGGATGCCTGCTCACTGTGGATTCTGCTTTACAGACAGGGAAAGACACAAGAAATCTGATCATCTCAACAACAATTTTAATGAAATTGCCTAAAAACTCATGTAATTTTCAGGGCAATCCCTTGTTTCTGTAAAAACTGTCCTGATCTTTCATCTGGACAAACACCTTCAAGTCAAACTTTCCATTTTCAGCTCCACCGCCTCCCTCTTATAAAGAATACTAAAATATTCAGGGTTTTTTTTTTATTTATGTTTTCTTTTGTACAGCATGTTGATATTATGAGGTGTAAGAAAAACCTCTACAGTACATGATATTAGTGGGTGTAGGGTCATTAACTTCTGTGGGTGTTTTTTTTTCCATGAATAGATTAAAATTCACCCTGAAGGTGATCTAATATAGAGGTATTGCTTCAAAAATCTGCATTTATCACAGTGTGATGTGCATTGTTTTTAAATCTTTCATGTGTTTATTACAATTATTGCATATACTTTGACTGTATTGCAAATGTATGTGACCATCAGTGGGGTAAGTGACAGCAGAGGTCTCTCTGTTGGGGTCAAAATAACCATAAATCATTATTTAAGTCTACATGTTGATCTTTCTCCAGATAAAGATAATGTTGAAATGTCTGTAGCTGTGTTTCAGTACATGAGGATTTTGCAAGCATCAATAAGTGTATGGACATTTTCTTAGAAAATTGTCCAAATACATTGTAATAACATACGCACCATGTTGGAGAGCTTTTGGAGTCTGACTTATAGTCAAAGTAGAATAAACAGATTGAAATGAAGACTCATCCTTATCTGATGGGAACAAACATCAGTTAGTAACGGACACACAGTCAGATAACCTTAAAAGAGCACGTTATAAATACTAATACTGACAGATTGAAGAAGTCAGAGCCACTCACGTTTTTCAGCCCGTGGTTTTCTGGTGTGGTTTGACCCGAGGCTCAAATTATCAGCAGCGTCTGCAGCGTCTAAAACAAAACACCATGTGTGACACACTGAGAGGACACAAAAATAATTCACACATCAGTCTTGTGGTTCAGCACGTCTCAACCAACATGTCAACTGCCACTTTCAACATGAAGGACAGCAACAAACAAGAGCCCTTATTGTTGTTCTTATTTTCTCCTCGGTTAACCTCATTAAAGTTTTTAAAGTTCCACTTTATCTCTCAAAGTACCACTAATGAAGACATCAGTTGTCTGCTACAGTCCTCTTGTATTCCTCACATCATGTTAAACAAAAATAACATAGATATATAAATAAAAAGTAAAGTAAACCTTTGTGTTGTCTCGATTTTGTGAAAACGACTGCATACGTCACACCGTCTAGATCGTCTGCAGCGTCCTCTCCATTGACTGAAACATAAAACACCTTTAGGGTGATATTTCATCTCCATTCTTCAGTCACTTAGTTAAAAAAAGAAAATCAAAACTTGCACAAAGCAATAAAATCTGAGGCATAGTAAACAATAACTACAATGTCAAAGTTGCACTCACATTTTTGATTGTCCTTAACTGCGCGTGATGCTGCTGTTGGTGTCTTTGAGGAAACTGATGGACAGAAAAGCAAAACTAGAGACAAGGAAAAGAAGACATTTAAAATTTCGTCTTTTGAAAACACTGACAATATTCCTTAACAACTCTGATGACTGTTTCCTTAGCTTTGGACAAATGCCATAGCCAATCAAAAAATACAACATACAACTGCATTAAGATGGAGAGTAAAGGAGGGAGCAGTGCTTACAAAGGGAACATCAATATTGAGTAATTGTCCACCAGGTAACTGTCTCAGAGGCTTTATTCAGGACAGTTCAGCACTTTATTCCTCTTGTATGACTTTGATGCTCCTTGATATTAAAATCCTAAGTATAGAGATTACTAGATAAACATCTTTGGAGTTATTTTACATAAAAGTAGTTTATTTTCTTTACCTCTGTGTTTCCTAATATAAAGGAATCCCACCACCACCAGCACCAGGGCCAATATTAAAATGGTGATAGCAATCCACAGCAGGATGGGGACGTGAGGGACGTTGGAGTCATCTGAGAGAGTACCTTGATGAGGTGCTGTAACATTACAAATTACACTACTTATGGGACTTTAATTTCAAAAAGAAATTTTAAACATGCAAAGCTGCAAAACATTCATATCTAAACATGCATTAACATCTGGAAATATGAAAGATTTGCAACAGGGAGCTGTTACATGTTAGCCCAGATGAATCTAGAGTTTTTAGCTTTAGCAGCTGATATTTTCAGTTTTTACAACACTTGCAAGCACATTCCTTGTCCCATTCCTTGTTCCCAGTGCCATCAAAATATATAATCCGCACACATCCTACCCATACATATTATTTGCGAACATTTTATCTTTATGTTGTTTTTTATTTTTACTGTCATGTCTCACCTCTGACAGCCATCCAGCTCTCTGGTGATTCTCCAGCTCCAGAGATGTGACACTTGTAGAGTCCTTCATCAGACTTGGAGACGTTGTGGATGGTCATCTCTCCTGTAGAGCTGCTCCTGATGAGGAGGCCATCTTTGTAGAAACCAGCTGAGGGGTTGGTGGACATCTTCTTGTTTTTGCAGTGCAGAGTCACAGCATCCCCCTTCATCACAGGAAGAACAGGACTCTCCAGGATCACTGAACCAGCTGAGGAACATGTCCGTAAATGTTAGCCATATGTTTCATGTACACACCTGGAGTTACTCACAATAGTAAACTGATAAAATCAAACAAGGAATATTATTATTTCTTTTTTTTAAGATTTTTTGGGGGGCTTATCACCTTTCAGCTCCTGCTGAGGACTCAGCCCACATGGGGTGCACACTCTACTCACTGAGCTAGAGGTCACCCCAAACAAAGAATAATTTAATACTGTGACAGATATATCAACTTCCTGACACATACAAGAACAATATCTGGCTACAAAAACTAAAATTTGTTAAATCAGTCAATACTGATATTTTACAAGCGTAGTATGCTTTGAAGTATTTACAGGAAGAGTGAAAAGGCCTCCCAGCCAAAGATTTACAAGCATCAGTACCAAAGTTCAGCAGTTATTTTATGCTTAAAAACATTTCAGATATAACCAGTGCTTTTATGTCTTGCATTGTTCTGAAAAAAATATAAACTTGCTCATCTGGAATCTGTTGATTGTAGAACAATAAATTGAAATCAGTCAGTTGCGTCTCTTACTGGATGACCTGGATTAGAAACCTCAGATAATTACAAATTCAAAATAGATAGTGGCTTTAGAAACCCAGTAAACGTACCAGTGACAGAGATGTTGACACTGTTGCTTCTCTCTCCTCCTTCAGTCTCACACCAGTATTCTCCACTGTCTGATGGATAGACTCTTCTAATAGTGCAGAAGGACCCTGATGATGTCTGCGAAATATGACATGCTGGATCAAACTCCTCAGTGTTCCTGATCATTCTCAATTTAGTCGAGCCACCAGGCCCTTCACAGTCAAAAGACACAGACTCATATTTAAAGTGCTGCAGTCTGTCTGGAGTGATACGAAGAAAAGCTGCATCTGAAACCAAGACAGAAATTGTAGTGTCACTGAAGAAACATTCAGAACTGGACAAATATGATGTCCGTGACATTACAACATTAACAAAATCTTTGTAGCTTCCTTCACCTTGTGACAGATTAATCTGGGGCTTTTTGCAAGATGTATTTTGATATTTGCAAGCGACATGGACAATGATTAATTAAACTGAACTTTTCACAAATACAACAATAAACATGTGGGAACTTAAATCACAGACACAAAGACATATTTTAGACGTCCTTCAGACCGAAAAAATTATGTAAATGTTGCAAGTGTCTTTAAGATTTTATATGGGTCACTCACCACTTTTCTCAGTGTCACCATTTAGCAGAATAAATCCAAGCATCACTAGATAAACAAAGGAGCTAAGTCAATTATCAGACATAGATGGCTTTATGTACAGCATTTAAGACTTAGAAAAAAGACAGAAGCCTGAGGTTCAGTACTCACACAGTCTGAAGCAGAGAGCTGTGACCTCCATGGTGTCTTGCTGCGGACTGACTGAGCACCAGACTGAAATACCCCTTAAGCATGTCAGCGAGAACTTCCTCTTCCTGTTCAGTTTGTTTCTGAACCATACCTCTGTCTCTTGTGGTCTGTAAATGTAGCACTTGAAGAAGATCAGCATATTCGACTAAAATGATGTATTTGCATGATTCCTGCACATTTTCTTGTTGTCTCCACATGGTTGAATGCACTTATTCTAAATTTCTTTGGAGCATTAGTGTTAGCCTAATGTCTCAAGACAGATTCTGCAATTTACATTGTAGAATCTGTTGGCAGTCCTGTGTGAAAGACGACTAGAGAGGGGGGGATGGCGGGGCCTTGAGTTTGAACGATGCTGCACTTTAGCCAATCACAACGGAGGGGGCGTGGCCGAGACGTGCAGGTGTCCCCAGGAAATGTGTACCTACAGAAACAGCAAGCTCCGCCACCATAGCGACCGCTCCACCCAAAACGCCGTCTCGTCAATGTGATTTTTTTTTTTTTTCCCAGCGGATGTCTGAGTTACAACGTGATTGAGCTAACTGGAGTAGTTTCATGTTGTATCCGACAACAGGAGGCTTTTAACAGATGACGTCCTGATGTTAGCTTTGCTGCTAGTATTAGCTGTCCCTGTCAGCTGCAGCCACTGATGCTTTCTAGACATTGTGATTTCCCATAACTGAATAAATACCACACATAGCAACACAAAACTGCTTTGCTAGCTCAATCATGTTGTAACTAAGATATCCTCTGGAAAAGATATTTTTTTCACGGACCGTTTATTGAGTTATTACCTTATTTTTATACAGTCTATGGTTATTACAGACACCGCTAATGGCTAACGGTAACAGCTAACGGTTAGCCCAGCTAATCTACGATAACCATGGTAATTACAAAACGTGCACACAGAAATAGTAATGTTTGTTCAGTCATTGTGTTTATAGACTTAACAAACATCAGATTAGTCTACACGGTGATATAGTGACGTGAAAAATGTGATATATAGCTAAACTGGTTTTCTACCCGAAGTATTTGTAAACAACACAGCGATTCCCTGGGGGCACCGCCAGAAGTGAATAGGGGGCGCTATAAACATGGGAAATTTATATCTCCTAAACGGCTATACCAATTTTTAGGAAATTTGGTGGGTATGATGTAGGGCCATTCCTGAGGCCATATGTCTAAGGAAGTCATGACTGGTCGAAGTGGGCGTGGCTTATTACAAGATAAAAAACAAGCGCTGTGAATTTATAGAGTACATGTAAAATAGGAAACAGACCTACCATACCAAAAATTGCGCATATACTCCACTAGGTGGCGCTATAACAGATGCAAATGCATTTTCTCCTGTAAATTCACATTTTAAATCACACATTCATAAGCTTTATATCAACATGTTCCCTAAATTGAGCTGGACTTTCTGACAGAGGCCCCGCCCACTTCTGCCACACATTTCCTTCTCTAAGTCGCTACACATCCAAAACCTACTTTTTCAAACTCCTACAGATTTTGCCAAAACTGCATGAAACTTGGCATGTCGACTCTCGAGATGGGCCTGATCTAAAGTTATCAAAAGAATTTTGTCTGGTCAAAAAATTTGCGAATTATTATCGACCAAAAAAATATTTGGTAGCTAAAATATACATATTGTTGCATATTTTTGTCAGACTAAATTATATCGACATGACAGTTAACACACACAGAAGTCGTTCAGAGGCTCTGTGCCAAATTTGGCCCAAATTGGCCACTAGTGGATGCTGTAAACCCAGAAATATCATGTTTATAAAAGTAAATCGGATTTGGACAAAAATTGGTGAGGGTGATGTGGGGACAGTCCTGAGGCGAGCTGCAAAATTTGGTAATGATTGGTCAAAGTGGGCGTGACTTATTGCAACAAACACATTCAGCCTTTAGTTCTACCAATGCACTTCCCAATTCGGTGAATACTGCAGCTCAGACTTTGGCCTGTGTCCTGACGCTCGCCCTGAGCCTGTCATCCTTTGGGGCTGACTATCGTGGGCTCCATGGGGCGTGGAGGCCGAGTTGCGCGGGGAGGCTTGGACCCCGTTCATAACTGCTTGCAGTTCTAGTTATTATTATTACGAACATTTAATCCCCAATTTGGCCCCTTTCCCAAAGTCAAAAACTCACCAAATTTGGCACATGCGTTTGGTCTGGCAAAAAATTTGATATTTCGGCAGTGTTCTATGTGGACAGGGCCAAATGGCGATATAGCGCCCCCTAGAAAATTTGGTACCTTGAGCCCCGCCTGTGAGTTTCACCTACACGCATGAAAATTAGTGGGCTAATAGAACATGCCAAGACGCACAAAAAATCCTCTTGGACCCATGCCGTAAACCCAACAGGAAGTCGGCATTTTGATTTGAATTTTTGACATGTTTGAACAAACTCCTCATAGGGATTTTGTCCGATCGACTTCAAATTTGGTACAGATCATCCTGAGAACATGCTGATCAAAAGTTATTAAAAGAATTTCAGTAGGTCAAAGGGCGTGGCCGCTAGGGTGTAACAAATTTTGCCAACTTCGTTTTCTCGCCATCGTATTTCAAACGGCTCTCACGCCCACATACTTGATCTCAGCAGCTTCAAACTTGCTGAACATGATGATGGCTCTGCCCCGAACGACCAGATATATTAATATCCCACCTTACTCATAGCGCCCCCCGGTGGTAACAGGAAGTGACCAGGTTTTACTTTAACATGTACTGATGACACAAACCTGACCCCATCAACTTCATTCCACTTCTAATGCATGCAGAACAAGTTGGTGAAGCTACCTTATGAACGCTGTGAAGCTATGTCTAATGGCCTCCGTGTGGCGGCGTGGCGACTATCGATCTCTCGCCACTAAATACGTTTGGCTTTTGATGGCTTCAACGACCTCATCTCCTCATGAAAATTGATACACAGGTCAAAAATGGTGAGCTCTTACATCTGATAGGGGCGTTGCCCATGGGGGGAACAAAATGCCTCTATAGCGCCCCCTTGAAATTTTCAAAAACCCCTCCCCAGAGGGGTTTTTTGGAGTAGGAAGATGAAAATTGGTACACATGTGTATGTTGCCCAGACACACAAAAAAGTCTTTGCCACAACTGGTCTACTCCAAACAGGAAGTCGGCCATTTTGATTTCAACCTTTCATTTTGGCACCGATTTTGTGATTTCGACAACTTTGTATTTTAATGAACTCCTCCTAGAGATTTTGTCCAATCAACTTCAGATGTGGTATAGATCATGCTGATCAAAAGTTATTAAAAGCTTTTCTGTATGTCAAGGGGCGTGGCCTCTATGGCGCTGCCATATTTGATGCATCGCATATTCGAGCAACTCTCTCTTCCACATACTTCATCCTAACTGCTTCAAAATTTCTGTAAATGACAAGAGCCCTGCCCTGCACGCCTCCTATTCTCATACTCACTCTAACTCATATCGCCCCCTTGTGGAAACAGGAAATGCCATATTTTTATATTGATAAACACCAACCTCATACTCAATTACATTTTGTGGCCACGTATTTATTAAGTTGATGAATCTCCACAGTGTAAGTCAGCATGCTGCTGGCCCCTCACGATGGCGCGGTAGAGCGAGGGCCCGATCACAGCTGCTTGCAGCTTTAATTATTATTGTCATTTGTCCTACTTTGTTATTTTATGCATCCTTTACAGTATTCTGAGAGGAGAGAAGGATGTGAACTGATGCAGTCGCTGTCACATGTTGTATCATTACAGGTATGATTAGGAAAAAAATATATAACCACTATACAATCATTTCAATTCATGCTTGACCATGTTGATCATGCTGTTCATTTTATTTATGCTCTATAGAAATTGTATTAATGTTTTGTTGTACTGCTTTTGTTTTTTCTAGGTGTACCAAGTAAACTGTCAAGTCTCCATAAAAATGCATAATGAAAGCATAATGATGAGACAAATGCAGTGATGGACAGTAACTAAGTATATTTACTCAAGTAGCTACTGTACTTAAGTACAAATTTGATGTATTTTGGGTATTTCCATTTACTTAGAGGGAAATACTGTACATTCTACTCAAGCTACATTTATTTGATAGCTATAGTTACTGTTCAGATAGTTTGTTTTATATGTTGTTGTTTCATATTTACAAGTTGCTGTGTGTTGTTATAGATCAGACTAGTGCACCAGTGACAGGTGTTAAAATTAGTTTTACCATGACAACATTTAAATGCTGCTCACATGTAGCCTACGCTGATCAATAATACTCAATACATATTCATGTATATGATGATCACAACACTTGAAATTGGGTCACTCTGCATCATGAGTACTTTGAACTCTTCATTTGAAGTAGTCCTACATTCTGCTGACAATACCCAGATACTTTTACTCAAGTCAGATTTGGTATGCAGCACTTTGACTTGTGACTGAGTTTCTGTTCTTTGTTGTGATATTACTACTTTTCCTGGGTACTTTGTCCACAACTGGACAATCCTCATCCTCCGCCTCATTCTCCACTGCATCTGCCCCCTCAGCTGGGCAGCCTCCTCCTCAGCCTGCAGTTACAGCAATCCTGCTGCAATAACTGTACGAAGACGCCTTCTCCGATCCATGTCAATTGTTGATTTAACTCGCCAATGCTCATGCTTAATAACCACCAACTCACCACAAACTTTCCCCTCGCACCTGGCTTTTGATGACACATAATCAGAAGCCAGGTGTGGGAATTGGATATAGATTAAATATGATGAAAAGCCAGCTGCGGGGAAAAGGTTTTATGAGACATTTTATGAAAATATTTTGGCTATTTATATGTTTTTGTGTGTCAATTATATATGTTGAAACGTTAAAAACATATGCATATTAATTTCTTACAATGTCTATGAAAAGACGCAGGGCTGTGCTGTGGTTATATTGTTTTATTCTAAATGCATGTATACAACACAGTACAACAGCCAAGGCGAGCGGAGGTGGTGACATCATCAAGTTTGCTGCTGTTCCAAAAGCAGAAATGACTGTACTCCCATCCTCATGTTCTTGGGAAGTCTGGACTCTTGCGTGGACTTGCCAAGTCCGAACTTGCCAAGTCCACAAGTCCGAACTGCTGAACTTTAGTATTGAGAAACGGCTTTAGTCTTGCTTGCTCCACCCTAGTGTTTCCCACCACACCCTTGTTGTCAGCCAATCCCCATTTCCCTCCTCCTATTGCCTGTGTCCACCTACTCCAGCTGTGTCTCCTTCTTGTGATTACTTTTCTGTGTATATACCTGTGTGTTTCACTTTATTCCTCATCAGTACGTCCGTGTTCATCTCCGTGTTCATGGTGTTGTTCCCTGCTCCGTTTCCTGCCTCTGGTCTCTTGTGTTCTGTTTTGGATTTCTTTCCTGAGTTCGTCTCTGTGTTCATCATGTTATCCTGGTTGGTTTTCACTTTAGTTTTTGGTTCTTCTTTCTTTTGGACTTTTAATTACCTGTTTTGGATGTTTTATTTTTATCAGCATTAAAGCTGGTTTCCTGTTTCAACCTTCAACCTGCCTGCTGCTCTGCATTTGGGTCCTTCCTGAACTGATATATGACAAACAGGGGCTTGAGACAGAGCCATGATCTGTTTGGAGACCAATAACAAGTTAAACAAACACACACATTTAGATATAAAACATCAGGAAGCATCACATGAGGTGTGCTTTTTAATCTGGTGGAAGGATTTTTCAGTCAAAGCTGAAACTACAAAGGCGTGATGGATTATAGTGTGACTCCAACACAGTTTACAAACTGTATGATAGTCCTGCCACTGTGAGGTGAACAGACAGAATGTAGCAGGGTTCTCAAGTCTCACTCTTTGAGAGTGTGACACACGCAATTTACCCTTTTCACACTTTAACCCGCCACACCTGGTATTTCTCATGCATAAAAAAAAAATATTATGATAACGCCCGCCAAGTTACACTGTTGTATATGCAGTGGGACGTGTTGCGAGACGCTGTGGGTACTGTAGAGCTCAACAGGCGCTTGTAATGCTCCAGCCAATAAAAATAAGACACAGCTACCTATCAGCCAATCAGAAAATAGCATTGCTGTATCCGGGTGAGATACAGGTGATCTGACTGCAACAAGAAGAGGGTGCACACACAAGACGGGGGTGCCTTATCACATGTGTACAGTCAGTCATGTCATCATTTGATGTTGTAGCCTACTGAATGAAATGACTTGTTGCACAAAGGAAAACAATGAGAGCTGATCTCAGGGAATATCAGCTTTTACCTAACAGTTTGACAAGACCGCATGTCAACTTGAGCCGACAGAATCCTTGTTAACAGAGTACTGGTGGATAAAGCAGGCGCCAACTGTGCTTTCCCACCAAAAGCTTCATGAGCGTCATAAGCGGCCGGCAGCCATTCATTTTCAATGCTCGCTGGCGATGAAGGGCGTCAGGGGCGTCGGCTGAAGTGAGCGGCTCGATGTCAGCGACCAGAGCGTCAAGTAGAAGTTGAGAGAAGCTGAACTTTATGCGAATGAGCAGCACCGCCACTGAAGCAGCAGCCAATCAGCGAGGCCGGGAAAAATTGAAAGAGAAGATGAATATGGAGGAGAAACTTATCAGCACGGCCTGGGCTCTCCTGAAGCTGTACCAGCCGGTGAAATTCCCAGTGGGGTTGCCAGGTTTGCAGGACTATATGGACCCAGACGGCCCGACGGCTCCGGGCCCTGCGTTTCCTCAGCAAATACACTGATACAATACAAAGGAGGCTTCCAAAAATGCGATCCATGAGCTCCTGCTTATTTACCACCAATTACATTTCTCAATGGTCCTACGTGCCAACAGGAGGGTAAAATCATGTAATAAAAGACTCATAAAGGCTATATGACTGTGTTTATTAGTGTTATTTTAAGTGTGTAATGAAAGTCATGAATAATCCATAGTGAAGACATAAACTGGACGGACGAGTCTCAGGCAGCTATGTGTGACAAAACAAAATTCCTATGAATAAAAGGGAGGAGGTGCCAACAAGGGGGAACACTGAGAGTCTAAAGTCAGTGTGTTTAGACTCCATTTTAAACTGGACAGAGCAGTCAGAGGAATACAGATCGTCTGAGACACGGTGAGTGTTAATACTATAAAAATAATGATTACTGTCATTACTGATTAATCAGCTGATTTTTATTCTGAGTCATTGTTTAGTCTGTTATAGGGGAGAGTGGGGTCGGACAGTGCCGCCTATTTAGCGAGGTAGAAAGAAACTGTGTCATCTACCATGCTCACCTGAACATATTTTGAATGAGTTCAACTATTGAACTTTTTTTAACGCTCAAGTTGATGTTATTGACTTTTTGTTGGTTTTTTAACGAAATAAATAAACAAACTCAATATCCTACATAAACCTAAAGGCTACATGTGGTAACCACATTGAGCTGATCCTGAAATGAAGACTTAGAGGACAGCCAAATTCCATATATCAGTAATTTATGAAAATATAATAATCATGCCTCTGTGCAGGAAATAGCCGTGGCCGGAGTTATTATATTTATTAGGTTTCCTAGCCCATGGGGCCTGGGGAACGCGTATGCAAGCAGACACGTTTCCCAATTTTGTGTTTTCTGTATTTGAAAATACAAAATACATGTATTTTATTTTGATACATTTATTTGAGGGGTATTTTGTATTTTGTATCAAAATACATTTTGATGCATTTTTGCCCATCTCTGTTTGTAGTACCGGTTATCCAGACGGCCACTGTTAGGGTAAGTCAAGTCAGATAACGAAATTATATCCTGGGTAAGTCAAACTGGCTCCGTAGTACAGGCCTCTGGTCTCAGTGTCCCAAAACATTTAGAGTAAAGTGTGTGTTTGTGTGTGGTCTTGTCTGGTTGATTTCAAAGGCTGGGGCTTAACATTTATGATGGTGAAACTTCATACTCTGACAGTGTGCAAAGCATCGGCTGAAGAAGTATTCAGATCCTTTATTTAGGAAGTAGAAGCAGTACTCTAACATTAAAAAGTTACAATTTAATTTTCCTGCGCCCAAAATTGTACAGAACCCTGCATCAGTAGAGGCTGGATTGGATACGATTTAAAAAGACATTTAGGGTTGATCATTAAATTCTCCCTTATGTCATTCAGTAATAATCATTCATTAATGAAATTAGAAACTGCAGTGACGATTTGTGGACAGAAGATGGTCTGGTAGAATGATATCTGTATCATCATATCAAATACAAAATACAGGCTACATACACAACAGTAACTAATGAACTACGTGAAACAAAATGACAACACAGTCTGTATTGACCTGTCCTGTCAGTCCTGTTCTGCCCTCTGCAGTAAAACAGCAGACCTAACAACTACTGCTCCCCTTTTCCGAAGTTACTAAGACAACAAAGAATCCTTGTTTATGTTCCTGATGGTTTTGATTGCAGCTGTAATATTTGATAGCAGTAATCAGTAACCTGGCAACAGGCTCAAAGTTCAGATGTTCACAGATATACTCAAAGTGAAACTAAGCATAGGAAAGCAGACTCAATCACCAACCTGTGTTTAAAGATCAACTTGTGAATTCATATATTGTTAGCTTAAGCCTTTAATTAAACACATATATTGCCATTTTTAAATCTGACATTTGTTTTTATATGCAAACACAATTCATTTTAAGTCAACTGTTAACTGAACTGATTGCCGTGCAAAACCTGAAAGCTTTCTTAATAATTTGGTTTTGATAATGACTTTGTTGCTTTTATTCTACACTAAAAACAATACATGTGAGAACACTGAATGACTTTCCTAACATGCACGAGCTGCTAAGACATAATCTGTAATTTAAACTAAATATAATGCAGCACTCTGCCGTGGATAATCCAGAGTGAGTCCAAGGTCAGCAGCCTGTCAATGATTTACAGACTTTGGCTGTGCAGCCTGATGATTCGACACGGCATGCAGCAGGTACGTCGTCTTCTGAATTTATATTTTCCCTCTTTTACATGTTAGAACTAACTTATATTCTACGAAACAGCATTACATTACTGACAGTAAAAGTGGGTCTGCATTCATAGTTGTTGGCTCCTTAGTAACACTCTTCAACAGATTGTTTTGTCAATCCTAAAACCTGTGTGTCAGTGTAAGTGTCACAGGGGTCGGACTTCCTGATATAAAACATAGTTAGCCAAGTCACGCAAACCACAAAACCTCTCTAGGAATGACTTTGTTTTTGACTGCATTAGTTACTTTGCTGGCATACATCACAGCAGTTTTTCCACATAATGTATCACTGATTTCATTTGAATTTCAGAACTTCAAGATGCTTCGTCAGAGGAATGGACTGTCCCTTCAGTCTCCACTCAGACCCCTCAGTGTGTTGGTTTTCCATCTTCTTCTGACACACTCTGTGACAGGTAACTCACACACTAATACAGCCTCAAGGCCACAGTGAGGCCCTGAATCAAACATAATTACAAAATCATACCAGTAGTCTATATGCCATTAAATTAAAGGTTAAAGGCTGCTGTTGAGTGTTTTTAGACACTTGTACTTCAGTTATGCAAACACCTTTCCTCAGAAGGCAAAAATAATGTCATCGGCTGAGCTGAGGCACAAAGGGCAGAGCCTGAACAGCAAAGTGTTTAAGCTTTTCAGGGACATCTACAACCATATGTAAAACATCCCAAGTTGTCGTATAGAGATATTTTTAGTCATTACAAAGTGAAAGAAACTTCTTGCTCTAAAGCAGCTCTCTAAAGCTTTAATTACTTGAAGTGACTATCATAGGAATAAGAAAAGAAAAACATTGCAGTGATTATTTTGCAGATATGGTCAGTATTTTGTAACTTATAGCCTTTATATGTCATTTCTAGGAGACGTTTGGTTGGATGGCGACACACATTCAAGTGTGTAAAGCTTTTCTTATTCCATATTATGTAATCATATCATAAGATCAAAGCTTTACTCATGCAAGACAACATGACATGGGCCTCCGTTGATGGCACATGAGCTATGAGCATATACAGAGGCATTTATGCTTAAAGCATTATGTGTTATTATATGCTAGATACTCTGAAGAGCACACACAAAAAATTCTGTGGATAAACACAAAGTCAATGAGGATAATTGGAAGAATATTACCAAAAAAGTAGTCGACCTGACAACTGTATACACACTGACACACTGCTAAACATTGCATTTACTTGCGCTTACTTACAAAGTTGTTTCTCCTTTTTTTTTTTTTTCTTTTTTGTTGTTTGCTGATCCCTCGTGTGTCTCCATACCTTGCGCCAAAAAGCCTCTTCTTTACCCAGTGTGGTGGCTATTGCTCTCCAAGAATCTGAAGCCATTTGTCCCTGTGTTCTCGCAATGAAGAGTCGTAGAGATGTTTGTACAGGTGAACCGTCTCGGCCAGTGTTGAACTGAGAGACACAGCACACACATATTGGACACCTAGTTACACAAATTCAGAAGTGGACGACTAAGTGCCTCGACAACTTTCGGAGCCTTAGCGCTCAACGCAGAAGGGGTGATGACGTCTTTGCTGAGGGTGCAAAACTTGCACAAGGAACATGACACCAAATATAAACCACGTGTAGGAGTCTGCAGTCATGCTAGCAGCTCTCTGAGGCTATGACTAGGCAAAGATGCTTTGAGCTAGCTAATAATGCCAATATTCTAACATACTCACAATGAACATGCTAATATGTTGATGTTTAGCATGTATGTTCATAATGGTGAAAGTCTTTGTTTAAAATGTAAGCCTGATAATATTTTCTAATGACAGGATTTATTGACAGAAATGGTGAGGCTATATTAATGAAAAACTGTGACATCATAGATGCTGCAGTGTCAGCAAACCTCTCCCTCTTTCAGATAAAAGGTCTGTCACTATTAGCACAGTATCATGGTGACCATTGAGCCATGTAAGGATGAGCAGACTGAACAACTTCCTACTGCCCATCAATAAACAGATCTATTTCTCTCCAGGTCAGTCTCCGTTGATGGGTTCATCTCAGCCAATAGTGGCAACGGTTGGTGATGACATCATCTTGCCATGTCACCTGGAACCTGCAGTGGACGTTGCTGCCATGACGTTGGAGTGGACGAGATCTGACCTGGACCCTGAATTTGTCTTTGTGTGGCGTGCTGGTCAGGACCTCGTACATACTAAACATCCATCCTACAAAGGAAGAACGTCTCTGTTCAATGATGAACTGAAGAGAGGAAACATTTCACTGAAACTCTCTGATGTGAGACCTTCTGATGCAGGAAGATACAAGTGCTTCATTCCAGACATGCGTAAAGGATCTTTCATTGAGCTTGTTGTTGGTAAGTGGTTACATACAGTATCTACATAGTGCTAATTGGTGCAGTGTGTTCATCCAAGGAAGAATTATGGTCAATACAGCTTTTGGCCATTGATTTGGGTGCTGAAGAGCACAGCCATGGTCATCAAACATCAGGGTAAATGAAGATTAAACACTTTTTATGATAACTCACTAATTGATGTTATGCAATAAAATGTTTTCTCAGTTGGGTAATGCAGTAAAATACTTAAGAGTAAGATATGCAATAATAATTCAGGAGCAACATTTTAAGATATTAATATTATATTAGCTTTACAGTAGTACATTTACATGTATGCACCTTTTTTAATCATTAATGCAGTGTTTGTATTGCTGATGACTGTTTTTAAATTAATTTTTTTTACTCATCATCAGGTGCTGCGTCCTCACCTGTCATCAGTTTAGCAGGGATCGACAGAGACAAGGGGGGAGTGGTGTTACAGTGTGAGTCTGCAGGCTGGTATCCAGAGCCTGAGGTGTTGTGGCTGGACGGTGAGGGAAAGCTCCTCTCTGCTGGACCTACAGAGACAGTCAGAGGTCCTGATGACCTCTATACTGTCAGCAGCAGAGTGACTGTGGAGAAGAGACACAGCAACAGCTTCACCTGTAGAGTCCAACAGAGGAACATCAACCAGACCACAGAGACATATATCTATATACCAGGTGAAAATATTTTTTTTTTTTACGATAGTTTACTGTTTTAGCTTTAAGTAACTGAGGTGTCATGTTATTTTGTATATTTATCATTTCAGATGATTTCTTCAAGGTCCAGTCTGCTTCAGCTTTCCCCATCATCACTGGTTTGGCTGTTAGTTTGGCTGTTTGCATCATGTTTATTGTCCTGCTTCTCTTCTTTTTGTGGAAATGGAGGCAAAACATTATCAGTAAATGAATTGTGTTCATCAACTTTCATCAGATCAAAATATAGTATTTTGCTGGTTATGGTGTTGATTAAAAATGTGGTGAAATGTCTACTTTTATTTCCAGTCAGTCCAACTGTCAGGTGTCTGACATTTATAGCTCATTTTAGACTGAAATGTCTTTATGCTGTGAAACCTTTCTAAAACCCTACTGCCTACAGAGACCAAGAGAAGCCACTGTGATGAAACTGAGACAGGAAAAAAGAAGAACAGCTCTAAAACCAACAAAACTGAAGATCAGTCTGTTCCTGTTGAAGAAAGAGAGCACCTCATGACAACTGAAACAGTGGAAATGAAGGTAGTAAAGGGAAAAGGGGGAAAGAAAAGCAAACATGTAAGTAGAGAAACAGAATCTGTGTTAAGAAAGGAATTAAGAAGACAACAAGAGCAGCTGTGACAGACAGATAACTATTACTGATGTGTGGACAATCAGAGGCTCAAGAAAAATGGGACAGATGAGGCACAGCTGAGACAGACAGAGGGATGAAGGTGAAGGCAAATATCAGTGGAGACTGAGATAACAGCAAAAGAGAGATAAGCCATAAATGCATGTCAGTATTTGGTATTGTCAGTAATAAAGTTACGTCTCACATCTGGTCTTTGTTCATTTCTCTCCTCTGTCAGATTAAGAAGCAGAGATGTCAGCAGCAGCTCCTGGAGGAGCAGCAGAGGAGGGAGGAAGCTGAGAAGGGAGTTCAGACTCTGAAAGAAGAGATGGAGACCAAGAGGAAGGAGGTCCATCTTTACTTTAATAATAAAACACATTGATTTCAGTGTGAAGTCACATTCCTGGTGTCATCCATAGTGTAGATGAGGTCAAACTTACAGGAGTTTGTTCAGGGCAGTTACAAAATAAAGTCATTCCAAGACCAGTCCAAATACAGACAGACTTTATATTTAAATGTTTTCAGTTTAAACATTAATAATATGAACATGTCTCTCATTGTAATCACCTTCTCTCTGTCCTTCCAGGTTGAAACTAAACAATCTGAGCTGCAGCAGCTCCATGAAGAGAAGCAGAGGAAGGAGGACAAGCTGCAGACACTGAAGGAAAAGCTGGAGACCAAAAATAAAGAGGTTAGTGTTTCATCTTTCTCTAGAGAGAGAGAGAGAGTCAGCTGTCATGACTCAACATTTTCAGCCTGTTCTCATTCAGAAGTCGTCAAATACTGTCGCTTTGTCAGCGAGTTTGCCGTTTGACACTGATGCCAAAAGCTATGCTTTGCACTGGTATGATACGCTGCTGGGAGGAGTCAGTTCATAACTGGCTGGACGCCACTGGTTGCATTGGTATGATATGCTGCTAGACCGCATCAGTTGGAAACCCGGCCTATAACAACATAATATAAGGAGCTAATATATATAAATATGAATGTAGAGCCAAACTATAATGTTATTTTTTCTAAACCTAACCACATGATTGTGTTGAAGTTATGTTGTTTTATCTAAATCTTGTGTGAAGACTCCCTACTTGTCACAGTCATTGAGCCAGTTTGTCAGCGGATGCAAAAAAATACAGCGTGCTCTACATGTAGACGCAAAAGTCCACTGACAAAGCAATGATAATATCATTGAGAATGTGTTGCCATTTCTGCAGCTTGAGGCACATGAAATGGATCACAATAAACCATGTTTCCTTGTTTAAGTCTACTTCCACAAATGACAATAACACGAGGCAGATAAAATACACTTGAATGTATATGAAGGAAATGTTCAATACTGTACCCAGTGTAACTGTCCCCTCAGGTTGGATATTTACTCAGATGCTTTAATGTGGTACTCATGTGTCTCTATATGTCCTTAAATTTCCTCAGCTGGAGACAATTAAAAAAACCCAAAGCCACTTTTACTAAACTTCTCAGGTAAGTGGTCATTATATAAATACAATACATAAAAAATATGAAAAATATAAAAAATGCATGCAGTTTCCTAATATTAAAAAGTGTCACCACAACATAAAGCACATCCATTACAGTAATATGTCTATTTATATTACTTACAGATTGTGGTTTTTGAATGACAACACTGATAAGCATTAAGGGTTCATTAACTGGGATTAGTGATAAACTGTGCACCCCCCCCCCCAAAAACTTCATGAAAGCAGGAGAGCAGTAAGGAGATTCTGTATCTATATGGTGCATGAATTTGAAAATCGTATAACATGGTAAAGGAATGGCCTGCCTTACTCTCACTCCACCTCTGACTGCTTTACCCTGACATTCTTACTCTGACCTTAATCAGTTCTACTCCTCTTGCCTAAACCCAACCAATCCAACCAACGAAGGCAATGAGTACTAGCCAGTCATAGGGAGAGATTAGCAGGTCACTCCTTCACCATCCTAGGATTTTCTAATTTGCATACAGTACATACTGAGAGTAAACCATGTTAGCACCCACACACCTGAGATAAAGCTACACAGGAAACTTTGCTGCTGAAACACAGAATTTCTGCAGTGTGGAGAGCTGAGCTTTCTCAGAAAGGAAAACACTGATGCTTAATTTTCTTGCCATATGTGTCATTGTGCAACATGTTGAGTCACAGCTGGAGACTAAACAGACGGAAGTAGACTCCAAAATCAAAAAGGTTTCTATTTATTTCCTTTCCTCTTAAGATTTTTTTTCAGTTACCTACCAGTGTGTTTTCAGTTTAGCTTCTCTGTCTGGGTCCAAGTCACTTCCAGAACCAAGTCAGGTAAAGAACAGGTCTAAGAGAGCTTGAGACTAGAATGATTTGAAACCTTTTCAGACAAAGTTTCTAGTTTTAAAGAATATGACTGTAGAGGCTGTATTTACATGTATTTACCCCTCAGATGGTGGAGAGAGACACAAACAGCAGGTTTCATTCAAATGAGGCAACATGAGGAGAGCTGTTGGTAATTTGGTTGAAATTGGATCTTAAACGTTGCACTGACAGTCGACAGATCTGTTCCTGAAACACCTCTGCACAGATAAGACTGGTCAGGTATAATTCTTGGGGCAGCTGTGGATCAGGAGACAGAGCAGGTTGTCCACTGATCACAGAGTTGGCTGTTTGATCCCTGGCTCCTCCTGTCCACATAAGGATGTCCACATGTCAGAGTTTGCTTGGGCGAGATGGTGTGTTTGAATGGGTGAACAGTAAGCCAACATTCTAAAACTCTTTTGAAAAAGCATTAAAAAAAATTCAGTCCATTTACCATAATGACTCAGTATTGAGTCTGGATGGACACTAGGCTCTCTCTTCCTGTGTGTCATGGTCGTCTTTCCAACGTCTGTGGTGACAAATGTCATTTCATGTTTTATCTTTCTTATCTTGATTTCTATTTTAAATGATGATTTGATGTGATAAAGAACTTAGACTGAGCGGATTAGACTGATGAGGTCATATATACGTTTTATCTTTATGATCATAGTTTGGGTTAAAATAAGTACTTTGTTAAGTTTGGGGAATTTTGGTTGAAATGATGTTCATAGAGGTTCCAGGCCTCATGGCTTTAGCCTGATGGCTTTAAGCTTATGGAACGATCATAGTCAAGCATTAAGAAAAGAAAAACACTGTTAGTAGGAAACTGAAAATGAGGCAGTCCACCCCTATTCACAATATTTACAACAATGCTGTTTCACTACAACAACAATATGTGTGGCCGGTTGGGAGAGGAGGAAGGTGAGGTCTGCCCGCTAGCTCGACGCAACTGCCATCTTGGTCCTTTAAAAACCCGAACGCCCTCAGCTGCAGCCAATCACAAATGAGGGCAGATGCAATCCACCAATCCTCGCCGGGCTGTGGCACACACCTATTTGCATACAGAAAATACAACACACAGAGAACACATGCAGGAAAACATACACAAACAAAAGAAATTACGACAACAGTCGTAACAATTGTTTTTGGACGCTTGCTGAAATGACAGATGCTGATGTTGGGGAACAGTTTATGTTTTTGACTGGTTGTTGCAGTTGTGCCAGTGAAAAAGGACCCAAGGAGAAAAAGGAGTTATTATAAAAACACCTTCAGGAATGTTTATCTGTTCACAGCAGCTTAAATTAGACATATAGATACAACCATTAAATAGGCTTGAATGATTCTCTGTTGCTGTTTCATGTTGTATCACATAAATTCAAATTTGCATCAATATTAAAACATGTGTCTCGTCTTCTCTTTCCTACCAGATTGATGAGAAACAAGCTGAAGTTCAGCAGCTCCAGAATCAGATTCAGAGGATGGAGTCCAACCTGCAGACCCTGATGGAGACTCTGTCCAAAAACATGGAGGTCCATCTCTCTTTCTTAACTCTGCTGTGTCTGATAAGGTTTCCAGTCTAGGTCTGCAAAGATATGAAAAACATCCAATTGCAGTAACATTTGATATTAAGTAGAGTGCGTGAACATTCAGCAACACTTATCCTCTATAACTTCTCATGACTCTGTGCAGCCCAGTTGCCAGAAGAAAATGTTAGCATTATACATGTCTTCAAACCATGAACATGTTAAATTGGTATGTTTCGTATGTATCATGTCAGGATACAGCGTGCTTTAAGCCAAAACATGATCTTTTCCTGAACTTAACCAAGAGGATTTTGTACCTCCATTAACCACAGTGATGTTGAGATGTAACTTTTCAGTGTATCTGCTACATAATAACGAGCAAAAGTAACGTATCCATGGTTTGCAGAAATGTTCAATACCAACATTATTTCTGGTGATTGGGTTGATGTATGTGTTGAACAATTCAGACCTTGAACTTAAAGCTGCTTGTGGAGGTTCATCATTATTTTTAGTTCAGTTTTACTCATGAAATAGTGTGTGAAGTTTAAGTTAAGTTTCTCTTTATTGATTTACACAAGAAACCATTAAAATATCCTGAATGAAAGAACACAGCTTTCTAAATATATTTCTCTTTCTCCCCAGTTGGAAAGAAGCAGAGTCACTTCAGCCCACTCTTCCTCCTCTGCTGTAAGTTGTCAATTGATACACTTTAAGGTTTACTAATGAACATAAAGCTTCCTTTAAACTCACTGGCAGTAGAAGATGTCTGAGCTTACTGAGAGTAATTTGGTTAAAGATTAGTTTTACTGGTCAAAACTGTGGAACTGCAGAGTTTCTAACACAGAACTGTCCAAGTGCTCTCAACTGAACATAAAATACAAAATCTACAACAATCTGATCTTGAGATGTGTTTGATATTTGTCATATTGTGTTACCTACCTCTCATCCCTTAATAAGGATGTCTAATGTCTCTAATCAGTCTCCTCTCTCTTGCTTTCAGTCAAAGTGGCCAATAGTTTCCAGGAAGAAGTTCCAGGAGGAGCAGCAGAGGAGGGAGGACGCTGAGAACAAGGTTCAGATCCTGGAGGAGAAGCTGCAGACTCAGACTAAGAAGGTTTGTATTTGTATTCTCCACCAAAGATTTCTTTCTTTCCAGCCACCCACTTACATCTTTCCAGTTATCCTACAGAGAGGTTAATCTTTTCTTGATATTGATTTTTGTTTCCACCTTTAAGTCTCACAATTCCTGCTTTATTTCATCTCAATCTTGTTGTAACTGTACAGCATCATAAACCACACAAAGAGTCAAAGTGTTTTAAGACTGTAAAATTAAATTGAAGCCACAGAATTTTGTTGACTTCTGCTTTACTTTTTCATTGTTCGGGCTTCAACAGACCTCCACTGTTGGATGTGCAGAAATTATATGAATATTGAATAATTGTAAAATCAACCTTTTTATTTTTTGCATTGACCTCAAAATACAAACTGAAGTGTTGAAGTGTGAGCACTCTGTTTGCCTCAAACTGAACATTTGATGAAGGTTACAAAATACAGGAATGTACATAAGGCATTGTAATTTCACCAGATCAGAAAGTTTCATGTTTTATATGTGTCAGGTCCATACATGATTTCATGTGTATTCCTTTGGCTGAAGTGTTCTATCCTACACAGTGATGTTACTTATGTTTGGGGTCAGTTAGAGGTCAAACTCCCTGTTAGACATCTCTTAAACAAACTGTATAAAACTCCAATAACAGAAACTTAAACAGACTTATTTGGGATGAAGGACATCATACTGCTTAAAAAGTCATCACCATTCACAGAAACAAAGCCAAAGATAATGGATTGTATTTAAACAGGTTTTATAGAAACAGTAATTTGACTAAAAAAAACATATCATCAGTGCAAAGTCATTCAGTATCAAAGTAATGAAGCGTGTAAAGTATATTTTTGAGCTGTAAAAGAGCTCAGGGTCTGCAGGACATTATACAGAAGGTAAAAGGTAAAAGACTTGTTATAATACAAGTAAAACTAACAGCTAAATGTATATTTGTTGTACGTCTGTGTTTGACTGTGATGTACAAACGTCAGCCAGATTAAGAGACATGTACACACACTCACACACACACACACACACACACACACACACTCAAAAAAAACACTAAAAAAAACACTAAAAATGTATGAAACAATGATTTAAAGAGGTTCTAATTTAAAACTTTGTAATAACAATGTAAAAATGACATGAGTCTGTGAACCCTCAGTGGATGATGAGCTCCCCTCTGCTTTACAGTGCTTCATAATGAGTTTCAGCTCATTGTTTATCTGTCTGAGAGAAGCCTCTGTTCTCTACCTGCTCTGCAGCAAACAGCAGACAGACACAGTCAGAGTCCAGCAGGTGAACATAGTGGAGCATTTAAAGTTGTCTAAAGAGACAGATATTAAACAGAGCTAAAAGAGAGAGATTATCGTACTGACATTCATCAGGCAACACAAACAGAAAGACTTCTAATAAATCATCATGTTGCTCTGTAGTAGATGTGGAAATAAGCAACTGTACAATTCAACATATTGACATAAACGGTCATGATGTGTTGACGTTGTGTTCATAACTTGTTTCTGCTGCCCGCCTGTGGCCTAAAACAGATCAGCTGTTTCAGCTTTAAGAACTGGCTCCTCTCTTTCTCAGTGTCCATGTTATCAGAACCATAACAGACTGTCAGATATGATGGTGGAGAACATTAGTGACCTGCTGGGTAAAGAGTCAAAACACAGAGTAAATAATCAGTAAACTTCATCATGTATTGACACTTACAGAAAGTTTTTAACCAGTTGACTGTAAATGAAGAAACACAGACAGACAGGCAGACAGACAGATTCTCTGCTGGTCATTCATTCATTCATTCTCTCCACTGACTTATTAACAAAAACACAACTGTTGCTTTGTTTCATCTAAAGGTCCAGCTAGAAACCTGCTGGGGTCTTTAACATGAAGAGTTCATCTCTCATTAGACTTTAATTAAAATACTGAACAAGTCAGACCATGAAATGCCTTCCTGTCATGTCTCAACTCACACACTTTAATGAGAGAACAGTTCATTCATCTTCTGTCTTCATCTTCTCTCTCCTCTCAGGAAATTGAACTAATGGCTGATGTCAAGAAGCTCACAGAGGAGAAACAGAGGATTGAGAATGAGCGGCAGCAGCTGCAAAAAGAGGTTCAGCTTTTATTGATATTGATTTTTGTCTCCATGTATTTGTTTGGTTTTAATTATACATCTCACAAGCTATATTTTATTTTATCTTAAATGTGAAATAAATAAATCACAAAAAGAGTCAAAATATGTAAAGATTGTAAATTAATTAAAGCCACTGGGTTTGTTGCCTTTGACTTTACTCCCTCATTATTTGGGATCACAGACCTCCACTGTTGTAGGTGTGGAAATAATATTAATAATTCTGAAGAAAAAAAATCTTTGGATATTTCTTTTCTTCTGACCTTAAAATCTAAAGAAAGTATTGAAGTGGTGAGCACTGTGTTCACTAACTGGACTGAACATTTGATGACGGTTACAATACAAAAGTTTTGTATCATACACAGTGATAATATGTTTGGGGTCAGTAAGATGTGAAACTCTCTGTTAAATATCTCTCAAACAGACTGTTATTAAACTCCAATAATAGAAATTCAAACAGACCTTTTGGGATGAAGGAGGCTGCATTGTTTGAAAGTCAACACCATTCACAGAAACAGAGCAGATAACAATACATTGTATTTAACCAGGTTTAACAGCAAAAGTAATGTGACGACTGAAACACATCATTAGCTCAAAAGTGTATCTGTAACAATTTTAATAAAATGATGCAAAGTCACCAATTATCAAGATGATAAAACACTTCAGTGTTTCTTTCAGCTGTTAAAGAGTCCAGAGTCTCCAGGACCATCAGACTCAAAGACTTCTTATAATACAGGGGAAACTAACAGCTGAATGTTTAGAGCATCTGTGTCTGATTATGATTTATAAACATTTAAATCAACATCCATCTGTCTGTCTGTCTGTCTGTCTGTCTGTCAGCTGGAGAGCAACAAACAAGCAGATGACAAATTGAGGACAACTGAGAGAGACCTGACGGAGCGTCAACTGAAGAACAAGGATACAGAAATCAGCGAGCTAAAGAGAGATGTATACACACACACACACACACACACACACACAGACACACAATTCACATTAATTGAACAACCTCTGTTCTCTTTTCAGATGTTTATTACAGGAGGAAAAATCACTGACAGTATATTCATTCATGTTTCATAACAGACTCATATCAGACCTCATTAGAGAATGTTTCTCTTTCTCCATTAAAGTAGAGTCCACAGTAGAATCTAACAGTAAATATACAGTATATCAGCATCAGTTCAGTCTGCACTAACAGCACAGTAACATTCTTCCAGCAGGTAGTAAATATGGTAAACAGCTTCATACAGTACACAGTCATCAACATATATTTGACACAGTATCATATTTTGTTAATGTAAAGCAGAAGCATCAGTGTCTGGAGTGTTTTTGGTGTGACAGATGAAAACTGTGTGTTAGTGTTTCCAGTATAAATCCACGCAGTGAGATGAAACCTGAGCCAAACTGTGCATGAGCAGATTCTTATCACATCATCCAGCAGAATTCATTCAGATATTAATGTGATGTGAACATTTACTTTATTAAATCATGTCTGTCTTCATCTCTGCTCCCTCACAGATGCAGGAGCTGTTCCAGCGTAAACAGCAGGAGGCAAAGGAAGCTGAGAGAGTCATGAAGGAACTGACTGACAAAAACACTGAGGTTCATCTTTTCACTTTAATCCTTTTTTAATCTCCTCCATATGAAACTGATTTGTTGCTGAGACCAAGGAGATCAAACAATCCATGAGAGCAAATCTGAGACTCCAGATAACTGAAACATTATAGTATAGAGTGCAACAGTAAATCTGTTTATTGTCCTGTGAGAGAAAATATGATGAAATTAGATTTTATTGATGAACTTCAAACTTTGAGACATTCAGTTTGTTTAGTTCAGTTTGATATTCATATCCAGCGATCCATCCAATGATTTTGGCACAGCCTTATGAAAGCTTTCATGGTGTTATGATATGCTGCCGGTCAGCTGGACCACACCTGTTGTGTCATTATGATACACGGACAGACGCTGTCACTTCATATCAGGGCTGGGCGGCACCTGTTGCAGCGTTATGATATACTGGTGGACGTCAGAAACGCTGCTGGTAACAACGTAATATGAGGAGCTGCGCCGTCCCAGAGCATCAACAGCAGATGCAGAAGGATACCTAGCACATAGAAGTGAAAGGCAGCTGACAAAGCGGTGATATGTGATGACTTCACAGAATGACAACAGGTTGTCTCATCACTAATTACATGTGAAGGTTGTCAGTCAAGTGGTGTGCTGATTAATACCAATGATATTTACTGTCTCAATGTGCTCAGAGTAAACAGGTCATACTTGAGCCAAACTATGTGCACATTAAAATGTAATGAGCCCCAGCCAATCAGACACTAGTTTTCAGTCAGACCAGAATATTATGTGCACTAAATAAAGTAGTGCTAAATACAATAAAATCTCTCTCTCTTTTCCTCTCAGTGGCAGAAGAAGCTCAGCGATGAGAGGACCAAAAGGGAGGAAGCTGAGAGACAAGTTGAGGCCTTAAAGAAGGAGCTGACGACTAAGGTTATTATTATTGTTTTTATTTACCTGAAGCATTGTTTATTCCTTTATCAGTGTTTTTAACTCAGTCTGTTATAAATCTTCATAAATCATTGATGTTTGTCTGAAATGAAAACGAGCCATTAGAGCAAATTAAATTCACCAAATAACACACACACACACACACACGCACACACACACACTCACACACTTGATTAGCCTTAAATGACTGTGTGTCTTGTCTCCCTCTCAGCCAAAGACAAATGAATCTGTGCCAGTGCAGCACGGAGCCAGCTCACCCACAGGACCTGTCATTGTACTTGAGGTCGACCCATATGGCAGATATATCCGTCTAAAGAACAGATCAAATATGGTAATGTTGTTTTGGTGTGGATGAACACTGTATGACTGTTTTTATACCCTTTTTCCACCAAAATGAGTGTGTGTGTATGCAGGTTTGTTAAACACAGGAAAGCCTGATAAAATAGGCAACAGACTGCTTTATCATTGAAGTAGACCAGAGCTGTGTACACGGCTCTGCTGCAGACAAGCATGTCTTACTGTGTGTGTTTTGTTTTCTGATGTGTCATGTTGAACATCACAGGCAGGCCATAAATCAGGTTAGTAAACAGTAGAAAGCAGCAGGTGAAAATGTTACGGTTATCACTACTATTTTATATATTTCTTATTTATTCAGTCTCTCTTTCAAATTTGGAGTGATGTCTGAGCGCTGCTCGGGTGGAGACAGACTGTATTTTGTGGTGGAGCATCAGTGTATCGTGCTGGCAAAGGATTTAAATTAGTGCGTCCACCCAGGTGTTGTATTTCCATCACTGCCAGTCAGAGTTGGAGCTGTTTCATACCTGTGACTACTGCAGAGTAGTTTGACCCAGGTGTGAATGCTAATTATAACATTTCCCATGAAATGAAAAAGCCAGATGTTAGTGGGTGTTAGTGGGTTTTTTGTGCAGTGGGAAAGGAGCATTAGTGCAATATGTAGAGCAGTATGTTAACCAAATGTATAAAGGCATATTTTAAACTAAGCTAATGACCTGATGTTTAGCAGAATCATTTTTTTGGTTTGTGTAAAGAAAGAATCACCGTGGCTTTAACTGTAACATTCATTTGTTAGTTTTTTTTTCTTTTGATCCTCACACTGAATTTATCCTCCTGCAGGAACAACAGCTGAGAGACTGGAAATTACATGTTCAGGTCAACAAGACAATACCTATCACATATCAATTTGACCACCCACGCAGACTCCAGTCTGGAGAAACTGTCAGAGTGAGTCTTTGTTGAGTTCTGAATTTCTGTTGTTGCATTTGTCCTTCTCTTAATTCTTTCACCTCTGTTGTTGAGTCACATTTGAAATAATAATAATAATGATGATAATAACAATAATAACTATTTTATTATTATTATTATTATTATTATTATTATTGTTATTATAAGCAAATGGAACAGTAATAATCTATTAGTAATTTGATTACCTGTTTGTTACTTTGATTGTGTCACCTTTGCATTGTACAGATATGGTCCCCAGGATATCGTCACCATCATACTTACAGTGACTTGGAGTGGAGAGAGCTGAAGTCCTGGAGCCTTACAGACCAACTGCAGATCACTCTCATCAGCAACACTGGACAGACTCAACATCAACTCAGTTTATAACCTCTGACAGATGAGATGAAACCTGCTGTCATAGTTTTTGTTTTCTTATCTTACCTTTTTGCTCCTTTTAAACACAGTAGTCTCCCATTTAACTCCTTTTTTAACCAGCAGGGAAATGAGCATGACAGGAAGTTACCACATCAGGAACAGCATGACTCAGATCTTAAAACTCCACATTGTAGTAATATTTAGTAAACATTAAATGACATCATTTACTATCACATCAAAATCTTTTTCATGAATATCAATTCAAACATTATTATAGTATTTTCTTCTCGTTATATATTTGTATGTTTGTTTGAAGCGTGGTGAATATCTGCATTTGTTTTATTTTTACTATTTATATATTTTACTTAAAGGAAACAGCCTTAAATAATTGTTAAAGAAAAATATTCTGAAATCTCATTTACTGAACTGTTGTACAGACAAAATGTGAAATAAACTCAGACTCAAAGTGTGAGTCACCCAGGAACCATTATTTTGTATGTTTGCTAGATGGAATATTTATATTAGATCTTCACAGATCTTTGCTATTCTATGTTTTATATAGTTTGTAATTCAATTTACATTGTAGATTTAAAATTACTTACTCAAGTTATCTGTAAAAAAGACATAAAAAGATAAATACATCTGATGATATTTTTTTCTGAGATAAGACTTTACAAATTATAAATAAAAACTTTTTTTTATTTACAGAGTATTTTTATTTGTACATTTTTGATGTTTTGATTAAATCTGATCGTAAGTCTAAGTGAACCTCTGGATATTATATGATGCACAAGTTTACAGCTCATTTTGAATGTGAGGTTCATATGACATTATCACAAAGTACAGTCATCGATTCTCTCCTGAAATATGGGAATATGTGACAGACTGAAGCTCAACAGCTCGACTCTAGTAACAATTATCATTTAATGCTCAAGTCTGTCTCTTTACCAAACAGTTTTTGTCATGTGCAACATTCAGTTTCATGTACACATCTTTCTGTTTTTATCGAAACAGTTACTGATTTTACACTGGTTAAAAAGCAGTTTTCAAACAACAAACAACAAACCTGATATGTCTCTCTCTCACTTGGCCCAGTAGAGCCTAATATTTGGCTTTGGTTAGCATTTAAGAACTTGCTTTTAAAATTATGATCTATAATAGTTTAATTTACTTTAATGATTGTTGGTCATGAAACAAATAACAGATGAAAACAAGAGTTTACAGCGGGGCTTCTCAACATGTGGACTTGTGCCTCTTACACTGAGACAAAGACCCTCCATCAGGGGACACGTATACATCTACCAGCTGGGACCAGTTCAACTAAAATATTATTCTCTCCTTTTGCTGTTTGTGTTAAATCCAGTGAGTGTTTGATCTGTATGATGGAGCTGATAATATCTCAGCTGCAAATCTTTAACCTGGATGTTTTTTTTATTCATGTGAGACTGATATGTGGATGAAATATGATCACAACTGTGTCTAATAATGGGAATAATGAACTAAATCTTTATATTTATTTATCAAAACAGCCAGGTCAGAACTTTTATTGGAAATCTGTTTAACTAAAAGACTTTTTTTCTGATTATGAAAATAATAATGATTCTAACTTTTAACTTATTACATCTAAAGCAGAATTTCCACTGAAAATGCAGGAAAATCCGAAAAGATTCACAAGTGTCTGTGATAGAATATTTTTATTTCTTTTCCTGCTTTTGCTTCCTGTTAATCATCTGGTGAGCTCTTGTTGGGAGCCACTGATCTGCAGTCATGCAAACAGCCATGTGAGGCTGCACAGCTGTGCTTTGAGCTAAAGGCTAAAGTCAAAATGCTAACACACCCATACGCTAACATGCTACCAGGTATTATCATGCTCACTATTCACTATACTATTCTTATTACATTATACTCAGTTTTGAATGTGTTCTGCTATTTTTGGACACGCTGAACAAAATGTGATGAAGTAACACAGTTGAACAGGTGCTAATGTGAACACTTCAGGTTGACTCTGTCACCATCTACTGTTGGATGTTTCCACAGAGCCTCCTGAGTGCCCACAAACTGACATCCTTTTTCTCATGTGGTCTATATGTGAGAATCTCAAATTATCACCAGTATTCTTAGGTTTTAACTCCAGTGTTTCCTCAGTGGGGGCCCTCTGCACTGGGGGCTGTGATTGGCCCTGGCTGCGTTGGCGCTGCCTCGTGGGTTGCTTCGACTGGGTTGGTGGGGGCTGCACTCTGCCTTCTTGGCGGTGGTGTGGGCCTCTCTATCTGCCCATGTTGAGGTGGACTCCGTGTTGGTGTCCTAGTGGCCACAGGCTGTGATCAGCTCCCGGTGCAGACGGCTCCCTGCGGTATTGTTTCCTCACCTGGCTGCTCTGCGCTCTGCCACATGTTTTTATGTCTACATCATGATTGTGTTTGTGGGTGTGTTTGGATGGGTGTGGGTGGCTGGGGGGTGGATGGGAGGGGCATTGCTTCTAACCATGTAAAGCACTTTGTGCTACATTTTT